TTACATATGTTTGAGTATTATTTACATTATTAGTCTGTCTACAAACTCTTAAATTGTTGTGGCTACGTAGGAAATGAGATGCAGACGAGCTGTTGGATCGAGGAGCGAGTGACTAATAAAGACGAAGAGAAAGTGACAGAGGAGAAGGAATCCACCCATCGTCCTCATCCTCGTCATTCTTCTGTGTTATCTGTTCTTCTGTGGCAGACCGGAGCCCCCCTCACTCACATAAATGACTACAGAGGCCTTCAAAGACATCACGGAGAGAGCGATCGCCGTATTTACTGTCAATTAATTAAACGCTGCCCGGTGCTTTGTAACCGCTGACGTTCAAATGGAGGTTTTCAAGTTTAGCAACAGGGGTGGATTTCCATTTGGGTTTATGTAATTGGATTGTTACGCACTTTTACCGTATTTGCTCCATTCAAAAATGTGAATGTGGTTGTAGTTTTGTTCACTTTTGAAACTAGAAAGATGGAAAATTTGCTGTGTTTAATGCTAGTTTAAAAAAAAAAATTGACTTGTTGAATGGATTTCGAGTTTGGGTTTATGTATTTGGATTGTTTCGCACTTTTACCAGATTTGCTTCATTCAAAAATGTGAATGCTGTTCTAATTTTATTCACTTTTGTAAATAAAGATGGAAATTGGTGGTTTTAATGCTAGAGCAGACATGTCAAACTCAGGTCCGGGGGCCAAATTTGGTCCGTGATATAATTATATTTGGCCCTCACAATCAAATCAAATCTGTATTAGAGCTGCCCACCAGCTACAGATAGACTATAAAGACATTATTTATTTAAAATGTTGTTATTATTTTATATTTTGATTGTTCTGGATTCAATGTTCAAGCTAAACTATTATTAAACATTTATTTTAGTAAGAAAAGGTTTAACTTTACATATCTTAAAAGAAGAGAAAACATGCAGATGTTGTTGAAATTTTTCAATAAATATTTAGTTTGGCCCACGACTTAGTCTCAGTTTTTAATTTTGGCCTCTGTGAAATTGAGTTTGACACCCCTGTGCTAGATTAAAAATCTGTTTATCGTATGAATTTTGATTTTGGATTTTTGTATTTGGATTGTTTTGCACCTTTACCAGATTTGCTTTATACAAAAATGTGAATGTTGTTCTAACTTTATTCACTTTTGTCACTAGACAGATCGAAATTGGCAGGTTTAATTCTAGTTAAAAAATCGTCTTTTTTTATGGTTTTTCGATTTTTGTTTTTCGTATTTAGATTGTTAGGCATCTTTACCAGATTTGCTTCATACAAAAATGTGAATATTGTTGTAACTTTATTCACATTTGGAACTAAAAAATGGAAATTTGCTGTTTTAATGCTAGTTTAAAAAAAAAAAAAGTCGTTGGCTTATTGTATGGATTTGATTTTGGATTTTTGGATTTGGATTGTTTCGCACCTTTACCAGATTTGCTTCACACAAAAATGTGAATGTTGTTGTAACTAAAAAGATGGAAATTTGCTGTGTATAAAGCTAGTTAAAAAAAAAATAATAATCGGTTTGTTGAATGGATTTTGACTTTGGGTTTTTGCGTTTGCACTGTAACCAGATTTGCTCTAAACAAAAATGTGAATGTTACTGTAACTTTATTCACTTTTGGAACTAAAAAGATGGAAATTTGCTGGCATAATGTTAGTTTAAAAAAATAAAATAAAAATCAGCTTATTGTATGGATTTCAACTTTGGGTTTTTGTATTTGGATTGTTATGCACCTTTATCGAATTTGCTCCATAGAAAAATGCTATTGTTGTTGTAACTTTATTCACATTTGGAGCTAAAAAGATTGAACATTTGCTGGTTTAATGCTTCCTTAGATAATCTACTTACTAAAAATGACATTAACTTACCCATTTAGCTGCATTATAAATCTCTAACGTGGTGTATGCTTGCATCACAATGGATAAAAATCAATACACAAACCAAATTAAACAAACGGGCTTGGCCATATTGTGACTTAAAAATTAAATTAAGTAATCCGCTAGAATAAGACCCCATTTTATTTTTACGTATGAATGGTTTATTAAAAATGACATTGATTTATCCATATGAATTTCTAATCTATGTAACCATTGATTGTGGTTTGTGCTTTCTAATTACAATGGATAAAAATCGATACTAACCACAGTGACGCACGCGGGCTTGGCCATATTGTTCAAAATTAAATTAAGTCATCTAGATAAGTACAGCTCTAATAAGATCCCATTTTATGTTATATCAAATAAAAAGACTTAATTCTAATTCTAAACAATAAATCTAAGTGAATTTGTGGGCTATTCACCTTGTTATGTGAATTTCTTACACAATATTTCATCATTTTATTGCAAAAAAATGTAGGTATTTACAATTTTTCACCACAAATATTCATGTGTTTGGTTTTATTCATTCAAAATTTGGATTTGATCTTTTGTTATTTAGTTTTCTATCATTTATTTTGCTTTTATTAGTGACTGCAATTACTTTTAAATGAACTTTTCTGTCTATGTAAAGGAGCATTGTGTAACTTTTCCGATGGAAGGTCCGTCAATTGCTCGGTAATCACAGTAAAGACAGGTTAATGGTCAGATCTACGGAGAAGCGAGCCTGTACATGTTAAGAATTCATGTTTTAAGGTACCTGTAATTGAACAAATGCAAATGTGGAACTACTCTGGAAGATTCTAGGCACAGAAATGACCGTAAAAGTTACATAATGCACCTTTAATGTTAATGTTATGATGATTATTTATGTTTTAATTTGTTTATTTTGTTATTTTAAAGTCTTTCTTATTCTGTAAAGCACTTTAAATTACTTTATGTACGAATTGTGTTCCCTTGCGTTTTACATTAAAGGTGCATTGTGTAACTTCTAGTCTCCATGGAGATGCCAGAAATATTCCCCAGTATGGCATTAAACTTTTCTATTTTGCATTTGTTTGTTAAAAAGTGTTTTTATTGACCAAAATAACAGTGGAAAAACATGCATTGTTACTGTGTGGGGGGGTCCCCTCTCCACAGAGCTGACCTGTAACTTGGTCTGTAGGTGCCATCAGCTTATTTCCATGGAGATACAGTACATATTTTTAGTAATCCCATACTGTGGAACAATATTGGCAATGCATTACAGTAACATCTCCATGGAAACAAGCCTACACCAGAAAAGTTACATAATGCACATTTAAAGAGCTTCATGTGCTGCAAAATCTAAAATCAAGCCAAGTACAGATGACTTGAATTAAGGAAGTTTTATCATCAGGGTTCCCATGGTTCTATGGAAATTGAAAATGTAATTTTCCAGGCCTGAAACAATCATGGAGTTGTGTAAATTCAATGAAAGTTTTGGAAAAGTCATGGAATTTTAGTTTCTCTTTCACGCAACTACTGTTAAGTTCTCATTAGACTATTATGATTATTTCCGAAAGTCTGCACCTTTTGTTTAAAAGAGACGACAATAAACGCACTGACAGGATTTTGAATGTTAAAAAAAACTGTAATACCAAATCAAAAAGTGAGTGGAAAAACTTAAACATTTCATATTTAGCCCTAAAAGTTTGATCAGTTCTACACATGTAGGTGTCGTATGATAAAGCAGAGGTGGGACTTGCAAATAGTGACTTGGACTCGAGTCAGACTTGAGTCACTATTTTTAGGACTTGAGACTTTACTTGATAAAATGGACCAAGACTTGGGACTCAACTTGGACTTGAAGGTCAGTGACTTGGGACTTGACTTGGATTTAAGCCCTGTGACTTGAAAAGACTTCTAAAAAAATGTTTTAAGAAAATACATTTCTCTTTACAGTTGATAAATTTTACAGGAACAAACTGGATCATGTCCCTCCCACTTCTGTTACTTTGTACTTTGTAACTGAAGTACTGTGATGCGGTATCCTCAAATGTACTACAGTAATATAAAGTACAATACAGTAAACAGAGAGAACTACATAGAACATGATTCTTCCATTTCAGTGCAGACTATATGACAAAAAAAACCCTGTTATTTAGCACTTTTAGATCTGAATTCTTTCTGTTGTATTTCTGTTCTGTCATGATTCACACTAAGATCATGACATTTAAAAAGGAAAAACTTTCTACAACTCTTATATAAATACTCATATATAAATATAAATATACCATGACGTTTAAGTAGAATTTATCTTAAAAGTCATTTAAATTGCAAAAATCTAAGCTCGAAATGACTTGAAGCTCAAAGCGGACGTCTTGGACTTGACTTGGACTTATGGGCCAGTGACTCGAGACTTGACTTGGATTTAGCTGTATTTGACTTGGGACTTGAATCAGACTTGAGGTTAAAGACTCGAGACTTGCAAAACAACGACTTGGTCCCACCTCTGCCGTAAAGTCATGGAAAATTCACTTTAGGTCTTGAAAAAGTTTTGAAATTTTGTGGGAACCCTGTATCATGATTTGAGTAAATTTCAGTTTTAAAAATTACAATCATCTCCCAGTGGAATAAGACTTTTTGTTGTTCAAATATGAAAATACATCTTGCTTCGCTTAAGATAAGAAAAACTCAACTCTTTGCACTTGAAATAAGAAACAAAACTGAATGTTGCTTGAATCAAGAAAAGCAAACTTATTCCATTAGTAGATAATGTTACTCGTCAAGCTGAATCGACTCAAATAAAGTACTTTTCCTTCTTAATTCAAGTCCTTTTCACTTAAATAGATATTGCTTTTGTGTGTACTCCACTCTATTCCCAAGTCATGTCAGCATTACGTCACCACTTCCGTCGTTTACTCAGACATCTTTGCATCTTTTTACTCTCAATTACGTCACGCTTTACCGTGATCAGGCGACGTCACGAAAACCGATGATAAATAACCACCGTGAGTCATCCCCTCCTCCCACCTCCCACCTAGCCCCTCCCCTTTCCCTTCCCTCCCTCCTCTAGCCCCTCCCCCTTTTTCTAGTCACGACTTTTTTTTTTTTTTTTCTCTACTGCAGCATGCCGTCGTAGCTGTCAGGAGGGGTACTTACTTTTGTGGGTGATCTGTGCGTTTGCCGCTGTGGAGAAAAGGGCACGAGTATCAGAAAAGATTCACAAACACATAAACCTGTCATGATAATTACTACACAGACTCTATTTTTTACAGTCTGTACTTAACCCTGTGGGGAATTTTGGGTTATTTTTAGGTGATATGATAAGATTTAACTTGTGAAAGGTTGAATTATAACTTTTATGACTCATTTCGGATGCAAACTAACTACTAAAAGTGTTTAAATTTGCTGTTTGTAGGCATGCACTGATACGATACTGGTAAATTTTGAGATATTGGTTTATTCGATATCCCCATTTTGATCTATTTTTGTGTATTTTTTGGTGTATGAAGATATTTACTGGTTAAAGTTCCTCACAAAAACCTCGTAATATTGAGTTCCGTAGTTACATGAAGTGATAAATAACAGTTATAAAACACATTTGGATTTTTTTTTTTTTTACTATGCACTGTTTGTGGTTAAAGGTACACTGTGTAACTTTTCTAGTGGAGGGTCTACTATCTGCTTGTCTCCATGGAGATGTAGTTGCTTTGTCTGGAATGTCCCGGTGTGGCATTAAATGTTTCCATCCAACATTTACTTGTTTTTATTGACTTAAAAACTTGCATTCTTACTGTGAGCAGGCTTGCCTCTCCACAGATTTTGCATGTAATTTGGTCCTATGGCTGTCACCTGCCGTCTCCATAGAGATAAATAAGTATAATGCCATACTGTGGAACATTACCAAGCAACAACTCCATTCGTACTGTGAGTGGGGTCCCCTCTCCACAGATCTTGCAAGTCTATATGGAGATTCTTACACTTATGGCCATACTGCGGAACATTTTAGACCAGGGGTGGGCAAACTACAGCCCGGGGACCATATGCGACCTTTCAGAGCCCCGTTTACACTGAAACGAATCCGCGAATCACCATTTCAGAAACGATCTGCGTCCACACACGTCGTTTCTGTGTCCGCAAGCCTTCCCTATCCACACGGCTTTGAGCACATTTGTTTACGTTTTACAAAAACAAAACTTAAAACCACATGGCTCATTTGCATAAACTGAGCGCTCAAAAAACAGCTCGATATTGTGCGTTGATGTGGTTCAGCTTCTGTTGGACTAAAGGACACGACTCAGTGGAATATGAGTGTTCTTTCTGTGACAGAGGGATGTTCTGCTGATGGTGAGTCTGTTCTGTGTTTCTATCGTTGGAGATGGTTCATGTTAAACTTTTCAGAGATTATACATCTGCAGGTCATATACATAGGTCCTATTTATGAATGGACATATATTCTAGCCTCTTGGTGTTTTGACTGTGAATTACTTGGCGGTTGCATAGACCTGCATCAGCATATCAATGTTTTCAGGTACTTTTTGTCATTTAACCAATCGCTGCTATTTGTTCGAATAACTGATATATTAAGCTTTTCCCAAATCCCTTAGGAAGACGGAAAATAACGTCTTTCCCCTTGATAAAATTCACCAAACATTCTCTTTATTCCAGCTTTAAATCCTCAGTCTCGGGAATCGTTGCCAACACAGAATATATGACTCACACTTCCAGGATTCTTCCAAACCGTCTAGTGTATTCTGATTCCTGACCTAGTCGCTGGAGAGAAATGAAACTGAGCAGAGGCACTAGTGCAGTCCCCTCTCCACAAATCTCACAAGTCTATATGGAGATTCTTACACTTATGGCCATACTGCGGAACATTCCAGACCATCTCCATGGAGACAAGCAGGTAACAGACCCTCCACTCAACATGTGACACGGTGCACCTTAAACTGTTGTAAGATTTGTTTTCATATTTTAACTACAAAAAGTCTAACTCCATTGGTAGATAATTTTACTTGTCAAGTGAAATTTGAGGTAAAACTTGCTTAATTCAAGTAATTTTCACTTGACTAGATTGTAGTTTTTGCAGTGTAAGTAAGTGTCATAAGTGATTAGTGAATTCTGAATATTCTTGATTAGTAAATTCGTAAGTGGATTAGTAAATTTGTTAGTGATTAGTGAGTTCGGTATATTTGTGATTAGAAACTTCGTAAGTGGATTAGTAAATTTGTAAGTGATTCGTGAATTCTGAATATTCGTGATTTGTAAGTTCGTAAATTTATTAGTAATTTCATAAGTGGGTTAGTAACTTCGTAAGTGATTAGTGAATTCTGGATGTTCGGGATTAGTAAGTTCGTAAATGGATTAGTAAATTCATAAGTGATTAGTGAATTCTGAATATTCTTGATTTGTAAGTTCATAAATGATTAGAGAGTTCGATATATTCGTGATTAGTAAGTTTGTAAGTGATCAGTGAATTCTGAATATTCGTGATTAATAAGTTCGTAAGTGATTCTTGAATTCTGAATATTCATGATTTGTATGTTCGTAAGTGATTAGTGAATTCTGAAACTTTGTGATTAGTAAGTTCATAAGTGACCGGTGAATTCTGAATATTCGTGATTAGTAAGTTCATAAGTGATTCTTTAATTCTGAATATTCGAGATTTGTAAGTTTGTAAATGATTAGAGAGTTCGATATATTCATGATTATTAAGTTCGTAAGTGATTAGAGAGTTCAATATTTTCAATATTAGTAAGTTTGTAAGTGGATTAGTAAGTTCATAAGTGATTGGTGAATTCTGAATATTCGTGATTTGTAAGTTTGTTAATGATTAGAAGTTCATATATTCGTGATTAGTAAGTTCGTAAGTGGAAGTGAAGTTCGTAAGTGATTAGTGAATACTCGTGCTTAGTAACGTAAACTAATTGCCTTAATGTATTTGTTGATTATCGCTGAAACATATTGCAATTTCATTTCTCAAATATCCGTATAAACATAATTATTTTTACCCATGGATCGTTTTCCCATCAGCCCGATGAACTGATGCGGCCGTGGCTTCCTGGTCATCCGCATTAGTATTTCTCTGAAGGGGTACGGGTTCGAAATCCAGCCGTCCTAAAACACAAAAAGATGAAATAGTTTGGTTGAAATACGCACGAAAAAAACGATCAATCGTGGTGTTAAAGCGTTGTATTAAAAGGGGCTACAATACAGTGACACCTAGCCCCGCCCTGCAGCGCTTAGTCATTTTGAAATCTCATTTAATCTCGTAAAATCGATTCCTACCACGTGCATTAGAAAGAGAGAGAGAGAGGAGAGGCTGCTGGGAGATTTATTGTACATTCATCTGCAAAATGGAAGTAGCCAATAAGTTTAGAGTATTAGCAAAAAAGCTTGGCGCGTTTCCAGCTCGCAAAGTCAAAGCCACGGACGTGAGAGTTTTGTCAATGGCGGCGCACGGAGCACTTACGGCGTGATTCGATTAGCGATGGGTGAGCCTTTATGGGTGAGCCTTTACGGAGCTCCGACACGCGCCTCTTCATGTCGGACTGAAGAGGAGGAGAAGAGTCATTGCAATGTTTTTATAATGTGCAGCTCTCCGGAGTAATGTGATTTTTACATATTCATATTAGAAAAAAATAAATAAAATCAAATTAAAAAAATAATAAAAAGGTTGTCTGAAAAAAAAAAACTATTTTATTTATTTGTTCTTATTTTATATTATATTTTATTTTCATTTTTATTTTGAATTGCATTTTATTTACATTTTTTAAATTTATTTTTACATGATTTTTTTCCCCAGTAAATGTGGCAGGAGACCATTTTTAAGCTCAAATTGATCACAAATGCCCAATAGTGTATTTTATTAGCTTTATTTATTCAATATTTTACCATGTTTTGTCAATCAAGAACATCTTCTCTTTTGCAATAATGACTAAGGACTTTCTGCAAGTTTCTGTGATCACTGGCCATTGTGATAAAACAGAATACTAAAATAAATAAATAAATAAATAAAATAATTAATAATAATAAAAAAAACAACACAAATCAATTTTATTTATTTGTTCTCATTTTATATTATATTTTATTTTCATTATTATTTTGAATTGCATTTTATTTCAATTTTTAAAAAGTATTTTTAGATGATATTACATTTTTTTCTTTTTTCCCCTTTAGTCAGTAAATGTGGCATTAGACTCTCTTTAAGCTCAAATTGATCACAAATGCACAAAAATGTTATTTATTTGTTTATATATTCAATATCTTACCACATTTGCCAATTGAGAACACTTTCTCTTTTGCAGTAATGACTAAGGACTTTCTACAAACAGTTACATATATGTTACGTTTCTGTTATCACTGGCCATTGTGATAAAACAGTACAGTAAAAAACAAAAAAAGTATCACAGTTTTATCCATGCTTTAAGTTAAAAAGGAGCTCTTTATATTACAAAAAATTAAACAAATAATAATAATGGGCTAATATTTTTTTTTTTAATATAAAATCGTACGCAGAAAAAACGTTTTATGCCTCGTAACTCGTAATACACAATATACTGAGAGGAAAAATCCGTAATATTCCATAGCAAGACTACAAAATGTTTATATTATTTGACTGTTGTGTTTTCTTTTGTATCTGTATTTCAAATTAATGCACAATTTTTAGTCAAACACAATGTACCCAATGAAAAAAAACTGCTATCCGTGTTATTTTAAGTGTTTTCTTGGAGCTAAACCGGCCGTGCGCCATTACGCTGCCAGTCACACTGAACATTTACCTGTATCTGATTATTGCTCGTCCAGAAGTCCGCATCTTCTCTGGGGCTGCTCTCCTCGCCGTAAACTTCAGATGAGGCAAAAACGGCCATCAAAAGTGGCAAGAGCAACAGTTTCATTTTTACGCACGCTGGTTCTGGGCTCGAATAACTTTCTGTCTTGACTCTTACGCGCTAGAAAGTAGAAATAAAAGGTGCAAAAGTGCGTGAAGTCTGCAGGTGTGCGCTGGGACGGTGGTTGGCGGTGCTGCTGCTGCGGTGGCGGTGCGGGTTTGTGCGTCTCTGTGCGTCTCTGTGGCTCCGGTCAGCAGTAGTCCATAACGCGTGCGTCTGTCGGGCTCCCGCCGCTGTCTCTGAACGCGTCCTCGCACTTGAAGCTCTTTCTACTTGTCGTACGCCCCCTGCACACGCTCCTATTTAAGAGTCCCGCAGTGTTGCCTGGTTACGCCATTACTGTAACGTGATTTCCCCCGCGCAGTCACGAGGAGGTGAGGCAGTGTCGTATTTTCAGGACTTTACGAACTTTGTGTGATAAGAGTCGTCTGTGTTTACGCACTTCTCCACGTGCCCACTGAAAAAAATTGCTTGTAAGATTTGCTAGAAAAAATCCTTGTAACAACTGGCACTAGCTCTTTTTAAGTAAATTTCACTGCTGGAATATCAAGTACAGTTTACTTTTCAGTATTAAGTAAAATGTACTTACCACCACGATTAACAGACATAAATTTATCGAGTAAATATAAGTTATAAGACATATTTATATAAATAAATTAAGTAAAATACATAAAATATTCCATCCATCCATTTTCTTCTGCTTATCCGGGGAAAGCAGTCTAAGCAGGAACTCCCAGACTTCCTTCACCCCAGACACGTATAAAATATTGTCACGATTCATTGCATTGCTGAGATGAAATAATTAAGTAAATGTTATATGTCTAGTATTTACAAGGGATGTAACAATAACCGAAATATCGTGATATTGTATCGTCAAAAAGTGTCACAATAACATCATGGGCTGTCACAATATATCGAATTACAAGTTCCTTTGCGGCTGGACGAAAACCACACTGCTCCTCCTGGATCCGAGGTTCGACTATCGGTCGGATTCTCCGCTCCAGTACCTGACATAGACCTCACTGGGGAGGCTGAGGAGTGTGATTCCCCTGTAGTTGGAACACACCCTCCGGTCCCCCTTCTTATACAGAGGGACCACCACCCCGGTCTGCCAGTCCAGAGGTACTGTCCTGAAGTGGCTTGGATGAAGATCAGCTCTTCTAAGTCCGAGGCCATGGTTCTGGACTGGAAAAAGGTGTCTTGCCCTCTCCGGGTGGGTGGAGAGTCCTTGCCTCAAGTGGAGGAGTTCAAGTATCTCGGGGTCTTGCTCACGAGTGAGGGAAGGATGGAACGTGAGATTGACAGGCGGATCGGTGCAGCGTCTGCAGTAATGCGTTCACTGTATTGGACTGTTGTGGTGAAGATTTACTGGTCTACTTTCCTCCCCTCACCTCTGGTCATGAGCTCTGTATAATGACCGAAAGGACAAGATTGTGGATACAAGCGCTCGAAATGAGTTTCCTCCACAGGGTGGCTGGGCGCTCCCTTAGAGATAGGGTGAGGAGCTCAGTCACACTGGAGGAGCTCGGAGTAGAGCCGCTGCTCGTCCACATTGAGAGGAGCTGCTGAGGCTCAGGCATCTGTTCCGGATGCCTCCTGGGCGCCTCCCTTGGGAGGTGTTCCGGGCATGTCCAACAAGGAGGAGGCCCTGAGGAAGACCCACGACACGCTGGTGGGACTATGTCTCTGGTCTGGCCTGGGAATGCCTCAGGCCCTGGAGGAGCTGGAGGACGTGTCTGGGGTGAAGAAAAAAGTCTGGAAGTCTCTGCTTAGACTGCTGCCCCGCGACCCGGCCCCGGATAAGCAGAAGAAAATGAAAATGGAAAATCTTCGTGGAAACCAAACCTGACCGTTACAGGTCAGATCTGGGGAGAGGCGACCCCTTTCACAGTCAGAATACCTGTTTTTTAGGCATTTTTGAGCAATGAAACTTGTATGTGCTTATTTTAATGATACTGTATATTTAAAAATCGTCAAATTAGGGATTATCTTGCTTTATTTAAATTGCATCAGTGGCATAAAATAGTCACAGTCATGAGAAGGTGAGACGGTGTCATATTTTGAGGACTTTATGAACTTTGTGTGATAAGAGTCGTCTGTGTTTACGCACTTCTCTGCGGGCGGGTTGCTTCTGTTGGTTTTCTTCTCATTTAGAGCTTATGGGCTTCTTATTGCTTTTTGTATGAACGTTTCCACTGTGAGACTAATAAAATCCTCAGAATTTTAGCTATAGATGAAGTGACTAAGGAAGGCCAAGTCATTTGCTTCTTGTGTCTCGTATTTTTGACCAGATTTTCAGAAATAACAAACTGGAACATCCCTGGTTTGTGGTGGTTGGTAATAATTAAATTGTGAAATGAGTGCGTAATTAGGGAAAATTGTTCTGCACTTGACACTATTGTGAGTCAATATATTTACATTTTCTTTGTGTTTTTGTCATTTTAAAGCAGCTTTTCTGTATTTTACCTAAACAAATGACTCTCTTTACTGTTGGTAGGGATCAGATTGGTTAAAAATAAGGACACCTGGGACATTTCTTGTAAAAAAACTGAGACAAATCACTGGTTTTGGATAAATCTGCCGGGACAGGGGACACAGGGCTCAAAACCTGAAAATTGGGACTGTCCAGGGTAAATGGGGACATCTGGTCACCCTAGACTAAATGGAAAAAACTTAAATAAATTGGCCAACATCCTACCCATCAGAAGCTTTTTTGTCTCATAGGTGACAGTTTATGCTGTATTCTCGTTTAAAGGTGCAGTATGTAACTTCTAAGGTGGAGGGTTTGCTACTTGTTTGTCTCTGTGGAGATTTGTACAATTACAGGTGTTTTAAAGCTCAAAAATACCTTAAAAAACATGAATTCTTACCACGTGCAGGGTTGCTTCTCCATAGATCTGACCATTAAGCTGTATCCATTGTGATGACCAAGTTTAAAGTGGGGTCCTGGGTATGGATGTCCCGATCAAAATTTTTTGCATCCGAGTCCAAGTCATTTGATTTTGAGTATCTGTTGATACCGAGTTCCGATCTGATACTTCTATAAAACATTATGAAATGAACTAAGAGCAAAGAATAAGGATGTATCAGATTGTATTGATTTCAGTGTGGTATTTGGGCTGAACTTGTGAAAAATCAAATGTCCAAAACTTTAATTTTATTCACTTTTCTAACCATTCATCATCATTGTTGAAAATCTTGACTTTTCACTGTCTGGTCTTGGAATGTGTAACTTAGTAAACTTAATGAACTGAACAAAATAGGAACCAGACCAGAATCAGATCAGACTTGAGACTCAACTCTGCACAATCTAGAGTTTGTATATTTGATATTATATGTTTGCATGTACATTACATTTGAAACATTTAGGCTTGTTTATGAAATCCAAATAAAACAAAATCTTACCAAATAAAAATGAGATGACAGAAGCCCCACAGCCTCTCTCCCCCAGCTGCCCCACTCCCCTGCATCACCACCACCTCCACAAACCCACCGCGGAGCAACACCGCAACATCGGTCCCACTGCTCAATAGACACTTCATGCTGCTGGATGGAGCCTCACCGCCAATAGCTCCAGCTCCGCTACACAACATGCAAACAAACAGCACTGTGCGACGACGCCATCGGCTGCACAGGTGTGAACACGGGCCACAGAACCCCAGGTAACACCGCCCGAGCACGGCCCGAAAGTCAGACAGTCGTGCTGACTGGACGTCCCTGAGCAAATCCTGCGCCTCAGTTAAAAAAAACTGTTGTATGCTGTGTGTCCTGTGTGTTATATGCATATATTATTTATCCGATACCTGATCGAACCATAATGACCGAGTCCGGATCAAGTCCGCAGTCACGTGATCGGCGCTGATTTCCAATCACGTGATCAGATCTGGACAACCCTAGTCCTAGGTCATGTGTTGGGAGATCCTCTAAATTTGCAATAACATTGGTCATGATTTATGTTATTAGGTTCTTTTTTCAGACCAAAAGTTTGTTTTCATACCTGACAGTTTTGACTGCTCATTGTGGTCTTCTTCAGAGTCACGTGATGTTGCTGTGACGTGTCCATTCAGTACCCAAACCAAACCAAGTTATAGGTCAGATCTGTGGAGAGGCGACCCTGCTCACAGTTCGTATGTTGTTTTTCTATGTATTTTTGAGCTTTAAACCCACCTGTAATAGAATAAATGTATAGTAGAGCTGTTTAATGTCACACTGTGGAACATTCCAGGCTGAGCAATGACATCTCCATAGAAACAAGCAGGTGATGGACGCCCAAACAAAAAGTTACAAAGTGCGCCTTTAGTGTTTGTTTGTTTGGGAGATTTGTTTGAACAATGGTTGTAATCTAAAGTTGTGTTGATGTTGATACTTATAATAGGACTATAACTAATTAAACCGTTTGATGGGCCTGTATATCCTTCACTTGTTTATTGTGGAAAGTTCATTAGAGTTAAATTATGCTGTAAAATGAAATGAAAACAAAACTACACATAAACTTGTCTGGTTATAACCCAAGCATTACGTCGGCTTTATCTGATGACGCACGTGTCCTCACGCACAGGCATACAAATGTCTTGTTTTTGGCTGGAAGTCTACCCCTTTTTGCATTTTATTTAATTATAGTTAGACCTACAAAAGTCCTCATGACCTTAGTTTTTAATTTTTACTTTGTGGACATCTTAAAGAGACCTTTTACACTGTTTTCTACTTTCTACTTTCTACTATCTGTGTTATAATGTTGTTTTCTCATCACAAACAGACCTGGAGTTGTGTTTTGTTTCATTCACACATGTTTAACACGCACATCTGTGTATATTTAGTCCCTTAGAATTCTTCTCTAAAACTAAAAACACTCTGTTCCACCTTGTGATGTCATGTTGTAATACAGGAAGGTCGTGTATCATTTGTTCATTCGTTTTTCAATATGAAACCAAAAATAAGAAAACGAAAAAATAACAGTTTTCTTCATTATTTGTCTCCAAAACCAAAGTGAAAAAACGGATAATGATTTGTTTTTTCAGTTTTCGATTTTGTGTTTAAATGAAGAATGGAAAAAAAACGGATAACGGCCGTTTACGTGACTTCTGTGACTGCGATGCTGGATTTTTGCGCTACATACGGACTGAACCAGAACTGATCCAGGTCCGGGACCACACCGGGACTAGACCGGGACTGAGACCGGGACCAGAGCGGGACCAGACCGAGACCAGACCGAGACTGAGACCGAGACCAGGCCGGGACCGGTGGAGGGCCGTTACATGTTTTCTCAGTGGAGATGTT